TTAACTCCAGATTGCTTGGTTACCTTATAAATTTCGCTACGCTAGTGATATACCCATATCTTTCATGTTTTTATCAAGGTTTTCACTATGTTTTTAATACAAATAATGTGGTTTTTAGCCCAAGAGGTAGTTTTCTTGTATATTCTGGTTTTGAGCATCATTCAGGTCAAAATAGCAAAGAAGAGTCAAAATGGAGCAAAAGGAGTCAAATCACCAAGTTCCCAAGTCTAGAGCACCAAATCTACATTTCTCGCTAAAGACCAAACCGGAGCATCCGAAGTACGACCGCATATTCATGCCTTCCCGACGTCCAAAAGTCATGATTCTTATATGGAAAGATAGATATTTGAGTCATGACCCGCGGCGAAGTGGAAAGAGGTCATTTGGATCACTCGTTGGACCGGAACTTATTTTCTACCAAGACATGTCCGACGAGCGCCTAAGTAGAGCCCATGGAGACTTTGATGGATCAAGAGGCCCGCGATACCGCGCCCAAGGCCTTGGCTCGTCTTGACACTAGCATAACTCAATCCAGAAGCTTCCATTGGCCTGAACGCGGCCCATTCAAGAACTTGGAGAGCAAGCTCAAGCGGCTAAAGAGAAATGGAAACTTTCCTCTTCTGCGCGCGCTCAACTTTGCCGACCTAGACCCGCTCTCTACCTATATATACTTGCTTTTAGCCTCTTGTAATAAGAATCACCAGCCGCATAACAAGAAACACTTATTCAATAAAGTTCGGAGCCACTTAGGTGGTCTCCTTCTTCTTTCTTTTCTTCTTTTGCATTTGTATATAGCTTGCATGTTTCAATTTATATAGTCTAGAAGTAGAGATTTCTCCCTAAGGGTGAGGCGGTTTAGTCTATATTCCGCCGCCTCTCTCTCTAAGGATTCATGAGACTTCATCTACTATCTAAGACTCATTGTTGAATTATGGATCCTTCCAATGAGGACGTGATATAATGGCCATCGAAAATCGATTGTTAAAAGGGGAAACCCTATGGTTCTCCATCTTTATTTATGCTTAATGCTTGTTGCTAGAGTAGCTAACTAGTGACTTGATTTTAGGTTGATATACTCTCCAAAAGCTTGTTATATCTCCGGATATAGTATTTGATGGGCAAATCGTTTTAGGCTACGAAAGTAGACCTAAAGAGTTTTGTGAACAATCATTACTTGGATGTAATGCATGTCTCACTCTACAATGACCAACGAAAGCTGAGCCCATTGGTTTAAGAGACATAGGGGATTGGAACCACGAAAGTGGAATAATCCTTCCTTAGTGTTTTGAGTTCAAAAGAATCGGATTTTAACAAACTTTTCAATCGACTTGGCTCATGTTTTCAAAAGAGTTTTCAATAGTTCAATAATGTTGCTTGTATAGAATTGCATTGTTATTTTCTTTTGCGTGTTCTCAACAAACACAAACCCTTGCATCTTTTGATTTAGCTTAGTCATTTAAACTCTATGATTATGTAATGTGTGAAATCCAATCCCTTGTGGTTCGACCCCTAAATACTACAATTATATGTTGTGCACTTGCAACTCTAGTTGTCTTAGGGAATTATTACTTGTACTCATCCCATAGATGCCGCATCAAGTTTTTGGCGCCGTTGCCGGGGATTGCATCATAAACACTTGCATAGTCTTGTTTAAAACTAAGTCTAGATCTTGGTATTTTCGAATACTAACTTTTTCTTTTAAATCTTGTGTTTATAGGTACTTGGAGATGAATCACAACACCAACATCCACTTTGGGAACCGGACACTGATCCCACACGATCTCCACGGCCGGAGTTACCAAGACCCAGCCGTAAGCATCGTGCCACATCCGTTCCCTCCCAACCGCGCTCATCCGACGTTTGAAGGACCTAGCCGAGACGAGCATCATTACCATCATCATCAAAACCGACCTCCGGTTTATCATCAACCACCTAGACCAGTGTTGCATTCACACCACGACCATGTTCTCAATAGGCGGAGAGATAGCCATTTCGATGCCGTGCTTGAGGGTTTCATGGAGAGCCAAAGAAAAACTAGCCGCGACATTGAGACAAAGCTAGAGTTCACGCGATACGAACTAGATGGAAGACTTGGAGAACTCTCTACCCAAATAGAGAGAGTAGAGTCAAGATGCTTGGACATGGAGGAAGATTTGAAGAAGCAAGGCGAGGCCATTGAAGACAATAGGAGAGCGATACACTTTACCAAAGTTTCTACCAAGGAGATGGACAATCACTTAGATGAGAAGATCACAAGTCTTGATAACAACCTCGATGGCACCACCAAGAGTCTCAATTCAATAACAGCAGTAGCTCATCAAGCTAAGAGGGAGGTAGCCGAAGTGACCCTAAAGGAGAGGCAATGTTACTCGACGATGCTTACATTGGTGGAAGGGCAAAAACAAGTGAAGGCACAAATCCGAGATTTACACATCTCTCTAGACAAGAGGAGCCAAGATATTCAAAGAAGAGCTAGAGGGCTTGAAGACAAAGTAGATGGAGTCTCCAAGGAAGTCAAGGATTTAACCACTCGCTTAGCCAACTTGGAAGAGAAGGTCTTGACCGAGCAAAGACGACCGGTTCCTAAGCACAACCATGCCGCGCCGTCTTTACTATAAGAGAGACCGACCCAAGAGTGATTTGGGATGAAGAAGAAAGAGAGAGCTGATCAAGAAAGAGCCACAAGGCTAACCACTGGAACAAGAGAGAAGATAGCACCAAAAGGAAGAACCCTTACTCAAAGGTCTTCACAACCACCTCCCACCAAGGAGAAGAGGAAGACAAGATCATCACTTGAAGAGATCATAGATGATTTCAACTTTATGGCGAGGAGATTCCCTTATGGTGTGCCGTTTGATAATGCTTGCAACAAGAGTCCATTCATGCAAGACCTAGCTTGGACACAAGATTGGAGTCTAGCTGAAATGGAAAAGATGTACGAGGAAGCAAGAAAGGGGATGCCTAAACCTAGGTTTCTACACAAGCTTCATGACCCAGGTTACTTCCTTATACATTTCTCTATCAATGGAAGCTACTTTGATGATGCTCTTTGCGATTCCGGTTCTAGTGTGAACCTTATGCCGGCCGAGATAGCCAAGAAGTTGGGATTGATCAATTCAATTGTGAAATCTCGAATGGATTTAAAGCTAGCTGATTCATCATTGACCGAACCACTTGGAGAGGTTAAAGACATTCAGCTTGATTTTGGAGGCTGCATAGTTCCAGCCAACTTCTATGTAGTAACCATGAAGGATCCGGAGGACTTAAAGCTTTTGCTTGGAAGATCATTCCTAGCCACAGCTGGAGCGATCATGGATTGGCCTAATAGAAGAATCTCTCTAGCCAATGTTGACAAGGACACCTTCTACGATGCTGCACCTCCCGGTTTCTCATCCAAGCGATTTCGCTACACAAGTGGAGGAGAGTGCTCACAAGTAAGAGGAGAGTCGCATGGCTACTTGATCAAGGAAGTTCTACAGGACAAGATGCACTTGGAATCATCAGGCAACAGGAAGTTCTTGGAGCCACCAATCCTACCTAACTAAGAACACAAAGGAGTCGAGCTACAAAGACTTAAAACAAGCGCTTGTGGGAGGCAACCCACATTTTCTTATCCCTTCCTCTTTTTATTTTTTTTTTATTTTTATAACTACTTATTTGTTCTATTTATAACTCTTAAATTTTTGAGAGTTTAATAAATTTTACAAAAATAAAATAAAAAGTGTTTTAGGAAAAAGTACCAAAAAGGAGGCTTACATGAAAAATGCATTGGAAAAGCTACATCGCCACCAATCGGCCCAAGGATCAACCATCTTTGGTCTAAGTGTCAAGCATTGAGTCTAGTTTGAGTCCCACCCAAGTCCCACCCATGTTTCAAGAAGCAAAGAATCCAAGAAGGGCCGCGGCACAACAAAATCCGGCCATTGGAACACTATTGCACAAGGCAAAGTGTTTTTCAGATATAAAACATGACAGGAAAGAACCGGTTCAAAATATCATACAAACATGGCGCGCAAAGGAAGCCACAACCGGCCAAAGGAGGATTTACATGCCAAACATGAGAGATGAGGGAAATCCAACCACAATTCAATCCAGGAGGGATAGAAAAACAGTTCGGTCGAAGCAGAACTCAATTGGCCCGAGTAAATAAGGAGATATCAACATCACAACCACTCTCTCGGCCAGAATCGACGAACCAAGCGACAATGCTCGACCATCTCCCAAACGGCACGACCGAAGTCCACCAAACTTCACAGGCGACCTCAAAACATCATTTTGGTCGGCAAATCCAAAAGATAGGACGAGAAAAAGTGCCTGCTCGTGAGATAGACGAAGAAGCTCAATACGGCCGACGGCGATGCATAGAATGGCCGACGAACTCAAAACCTCAAGAAGGCGCGAACACCGGTGGAAACTGATCCTCTGGAGTCCAAAAAACACCAAGGAAGAAGAAAGGAAGGAGACGATCGAACAGAATACAAGATGGCCAAAGGAATCACATCCCGAAGCCATTGGCGCGCACAACGAAAGATCTCCGAATCCACACGTTCAAATCACCTCAAACTTCACAAGGAGCCACAAAACATAAGGTTGGTCGATGAAATTCATTTCAGTACAATGAATTCCTTACAATTCAAGAGATGGCCGATGGAGTGAAATTTGGCCGATCGCGAGCAAGTAAAATGGCCGACAATCCAAATCACGGCATTTACCGCGGCCACCGGCTCAAATCACCTCAATCAAGCCTCCACATCGCATCTAAAGAAGAAAATCCGGATTGGAACGAGCAGAATTGGAGAAGGCCGAAGGAAGACGTTCCCGGAGCCAATTTGAAATTTTTCAAAGGAGATCTCAAACCACTCGTTCAAACGACCCCAACTCACCAGTCGCCATATTATACAATATTGGTCGACGAAATTTCAAGATAGGTCGAGGAAATCTTCACGGTTCGAGCTGTAGTCCATACCATCACCATCCGGTCGACCAAAACGGACGAATCTCGGCCAAAAAGGCGAAAAACAGAAACCAAGGGAGAATTGTCACATTCATCCAACCAAATCCAACAGCTATGACGTTTGCACCAGTCAGATCATCCTGGAAGCAACCAAAAGCGCACAACCGATCTTCACATCAAAGGCCAAAAATTTGGGTACAATTTTCTACAAACTCTAACTTTTCCATTCTTATTTATCATTACCTCTCTTAATTGGATTTTTCTTACACCGAGACGGTGCAAGTTAAGTCTGGGGGGATTACTAACAAGTTTGTTCTTTTTGAATTTCATTGAGTCGTTTTATTGAGTCAAAATTTTTGTCGAGAATTATGACCTTATCTTGGATCTAACCATTGTTGTACTAATGTTTAAGTGACCATTGAGCAGTTCTTGGCAATACATCTTACCACAGGTGCACTATGAGTTGATCGATCTACCAAAAACGCCCACATCCTCTAAAGACTTGAGAAGGATCCATCTTTGACTCCGCCCTTAATGAACTTAATCTTCTCAGCTAGGGGCTTGGCATACAAATGGCATGATTCCTCATCCTCTCCATCAAATGAAAAAGTCTTAGTGAGTTCGTGCTTCCCTCTCTCTCCCCTTCAAATTTAAAGAAAAAGCGTAAGGTCCAAGTAACCGGGGATTCGGTGGCAAACACCATCAATACTCGCGTCTATGGAAGGCCTATGAATCCAAGCAACCGGGGATTCGGTGGCAAACACCATCAATACTCGCGTCTGTGGAAGATCCAAGCAAAACCTCTATAATAAAGAGAAGGAGTTGAATAAAAAAATACTTCGCTACCCTAAAAAAGGGATGAATCAACTCAAAGAAGTGAGAAGAGAGAGAGGAGAAACATGGAGTAAAAAGACAAGTGCCAAAACAAGGGGATGAGTAAGAGTCTAAAGCCGGCTGATCGATACTCCCTAGTTGAGACCACACCTTTAGAAATGAAAGGAGTCAAGGAGGGCGAATTGGATTGTCCAAAGAGAGGTGGGCCGCTTTGGAAAAATCGCAAAACTCATGGTATGTACTTTGTTCTTAATTCAAAATTTGCCAACTTTCATGTGGATTACTAAAACAAGCCAACCCGGATTTCCTAATGATTTGAGAGTTCTTGCGTTTTCAAACCTCTTTCCTCTCTTAGTTTGCTTGGGGACAAGCAAAAGGCTAAGTCTGGGGGAGTTGATATACCCATATCTTTCATGTTTTTATCAAGGTTTTCACTATGTTTTTAATACAAATAATGTGGTTTTTAGCCCAAGAGGTAGTTTTCTTGTATATTCTGGTTTTGAGCATCATTCAGGTCAAAATAGCAAAGAAGAGTCCAAAATGGAGCAAAAAGAGTCAAATCACCAAGTTCCCAAGTCTAGAGCACCAAAATACATTTCTCGCTAAAGACCAAACCGGAGCATCCGAAGTACGACCGCATGTTCATGCCTTCCCGACGTCCAAAAGTCATGATTCTTATATGGAAAGATAGATATTTGAGTCATGACCCGCGGCGAAGTGGAAAGAGGTCATTTGGATCACTCGTTGGACCGGAACTTATTTTCTACCAAGACATGTCCGACGAGCGCCTAAGTAGAGCCCATGGAGACTTTGATGGATCAAGAGGCCCGCGATACCGCGCCCAAGGCCTTGGCTCGTCTTGACACTAGCATAACTCAATCCAGAAGCTTCCATTGGCCTGAACGCGGCCCATTCAAGAACTTGGAGAGCAAGCTCAAGCGGCTAAAGAGAAATGGAAACTTTCCTCTTCTGCGCGCGCTCAACTTTGCCGACCTAGACCCGCTCTCTACCTATATATACTTGCTTTTAGCCTCTTGTAATAAGAATCACCAGCCGCATAACAAGAAACACTTATTCAATAAAGTTCGGAGCCACTTAGGTGGTCTCCTTCTTCTTTCTTTTCTTCTTTTGCATTTGTATATAGCTTGCATGTTTCAATTTATATAGTCTAGAAGTAGAGATTTCTCCCTAAGGGTGAGGCGTGGTTTAGTCTATATTCCGCCGCCTCTCTCTCTAAGGATTCATGAGACTTCATCTACTATCTAAGACTCATTGTTGAATTATGGATCCTTCCAATGAGGACGTGATATAATGGCCATCGAAAATCGATTGTTAAAAGGGGAAACCCTATGGTTCTCCATCTTTATTTATGCTTAATGCCTGTTGCTAGAGTAGCTAACTAGTGACTTGATTTTAGGTTGATATACTCTCCAAAAGCTTGTTATATCTCCGGATATTATTTGATGGGCAAATCGTTTTAGGCTACGAAAGTAGACCTAAAGAGTTTTGTGAACAATCATTACTTGGATGTAATGCATGTCTCACTCTACAATGACCAACGAAAGCTGAGCCCATTGGTTTAAGAGACATAGGGGATTGGAACCACGAAAGTGGAATAATCCTTCCTTAGTGTTTTGAGTTCAAAAGAATCGGATTTTAACAAACTTTTCAATCGACTTGGCTCATGTTTTCAAAAGAGTTTTCAATAGTTCAATAATGTTGCTTGTATAGAATTGCATTGTTATTTTCTTTTGCGTGTTCTAAACAAACACAAACCCTTGCATCTTTTGATTTAGCTTAGTCATTTAAACTCTATGATTATGTAATGTGTGAAATCCAATCCCTTGTGGTTCGACCCCTAAATACTACAATTATATGTTGTGCACTTGCAACACTAGTTGTCTTAGGGAATTATTACTTGTACTCATCCCATAGATGCCGCATCAGCTAGCATGTCGATCCATTGTAAGAGCTTCTGTTAGGCTTGTGCCTTTAGCTGATGTCTGCTCTAGGGTCATAGATTGTTAGCACAACACCGGCAAATCTCAAAGCAAGTTCATAATTTCCGGACTAGATTTTGACTCAATAAAAAAAAAGTTTTGAAAAAGGTGGGGAAGAGAAAACGATATAAGATGAAGACAAGACATGAACAAACACATTAGTACCAACAATCTCCCCAGACTTAACTTGCACCGTCCCGGTGAAAACAAATCCGATTAAGGGAGGAAAAAGAAATATGTAGTAATGTGTGAGTGAATGAGAAGAAAGATGTAACCTGATTAGACATTAAGTCTATGAAGAAATGACCTAGTGGTATTATGTGGTTGTCCTTTGTCCTTTGATAAGCTTGAGATAAGCTTAACAAACCTTCTCCTATGCTGCATTTGAATGAACTCCAAAGAATGGGTTGTATCCCGCCTTAGATGATCAAGTACCATGCGTCCACGGTAAAATATCTTGAAGGTCGGCCTTAGGCAAGGCATAGTTGGGATTAGCCTTGGAATTGTAGCAAATGGATGTGTGATTGTCATAGATCTTTGCCACAATCATTGGTGTTGGACTGTAGGGAGATTGGATGGATGCAAACTGATGAAGATCAGGGCCGGTTTTGTGAATGGGAGACTTCCTCATGTGATATTGGTCGGTGAGTTTTGATTTTCAGGGCTTGGTTCACTCCGGGTTGCGTTCTGGCCGAGATGGGACATTTCGGTCGACCGGAGGGTAGTGCTATGGACCACAGCTCAAACTATGAAGAATTCCTCGACCCATATTGAAATTTCATCGACCAACCTCATATGTTATGGCCTCTGGTGAAGTTTGAGAGCATTCGAACGAGTGGATTGATAGATCCTTCACAAAGTGGTCAATATGGCTCCGGAAGAGGTTTCTTGGCCATCCTTGAGTTTGGCTCGTTCGTTTTGTATCTTCTCTGGAAATGTGTTATTGAAGCTCCAGGAAGTCTTTTCCAGCCGGAGGTTCGCGCCTATGCCTTGATTTGGTTTTGTCGGCCATTGGTTGCACCGCGGACGACCGGATGGGGCTCTTCTGTATATCTCCTGAAGGTGAACATTTCACCGTCCTATCTTTTGGATTTGCCGACCAAATTTTGATTTTATGGCCGTCTGTGAAGTTTGGTGGACTTTGGTCATACGGTTTAGGAGTTGGCCAAGAGTTGGTATTCCATGTACTCGCCATGGCCGAGAGAAATAGGCCGGTTGGAATTTCTTCAAATCCACCCGGGCCAATTGAGATTTTCTTCGACCAAAGTGATTTTCTAACTCTTATTTATCATTCCCAGGTGGTGCGCCTTTTCCTTGGGATTGGGTATTATCCTCCTTTGAAACCTTCCTTAAACCTCCATAGGTATGATGGTTGTGGTCGGCTATAGCATTTCTTCTTGATATCCTTCCTGTCAAGTAATTAAATCCTTGCAAAATACTTGAAATCACTGATTAGATAGTTCTTAGATTGAGACCCTCAAGTAACCAGCTTGAAGTTCACAATCCAAGAGATTAAGGTAAAAACTATAAACATATTTTTGGGTCTTGGTTAGTGATCCCAAACTTCAAATTATAGTTTAGTCTATGTGAATTCATTGCATAATATAAGTTTGACAAGTAGAGATATATTTCATTCAATGACCATTAAGTTTTAAAGCGATTTAGACCATGAAATGTAACTAATGAAGTGCAATGGTTCAAATGCTCATGAAGTGAAGAGTAGTAGTGGTCATGAATGAAATATTGGAGAAGAATTTACTTACCTGTAGTGGGATTTCGCCTTGAACAAGGGTGGGACTTTGGGTGGGACACTTTCATGGTTTTGTCTCCTTTCTTCATTTTTCGAGGTTTCTTCTCAAATTTCATGCTAGATTCTCAAATCTCTGTATCCAAAACTTCAAAAACAAAACAAAAACCATTAAACTAAAACAAAAATTAAAAAGGGAAAAGAAAACACCTTATGGGTTGCCTCCCATATAGCGCTTGTTTAAAGTCTTTTAGCTTGACTCTTTCTCTTTCTAATTGACCAATTGATCAAATAGAAGAGTTGAGGCTCCTTTAGCTTCTCTACATTCTGGACCTGACGGTTTGAAACTCCTCCTATGGACATCTTGAAGGTCTTGAATGTAGTTGCAAGAAACAATACCACCAGTAAAGAGTTTCCTCTTCTTGTGCAGCCCATCCTTGAAGGGTTCTTTGTTTTCCTTATTCTGGAAATCAAAGCTGAACTTAGAGAAGCATCTTGAAGTTCTTATAGGCTGTGGTGTGGCATCAATCACGTCCTCCTTGTACTCCCTTGGTGTCAAAATCTTGCTTAAGACACTTGAAACCTTAATGCAGTTTGCCTTTGCCGGTATGGCAATTTCCTTAGGTATGATGAGAGGGGCTGCTGATATGACGTCTATCAACTCCTCTTGGTCATTATTAGGCTCTGATAGTGGTTCCTCTCTAGCGCACACATCTGCAGAATGAGAGCTCTTGATAGGAACCGCCGGATAGACATGGCTTTACTGATTTTGGAGAGAGAGATTCTTTGCTTCTGAAGATCCAAGATTGCTCCATTGGCTTCAAGGAATGATGAACCAAAACTCAATGGCTTGTCAGGGTCGTGTTTCATCTCCAAGATTTGTAAATCTGCCTTAAAGACGTGATCTCCTATGGATAGTGTAAGATCCGAGATGAAACCATGGAAGAGAGTATAAGGATCATCTTTAAACCGCATTGGTGTCTTGGAGGGATCCCTGACTTCAATCCCAATCTTCTTGGCTATTCCTTTGTTCATGATGTTGATGTGAGATCTTGTATCACATATGGAATCCTTGAACAACACTCCATTAATGATGCAAGGTAAACCAAGCTTCTCCGGGTTAGAGATCTTCTCTAGTGGCTTCGGCTTGTAACCTCTTGTTGAGTCCAAGGAGTAATGCTCTTGCTCTGGTCTTGTAGCCAAGTTAACAGCAGTCTGGGGTGGTTTATGGGTAGGCACGAACTCAGCTTCCCTTATAGAGATGGATTCACAAAAAGCTTTTGTTTCCTCCATGTCTTGTCTTTTCAAATCTTCATAGGTTCGATCAATGTGGGTGTGAATCTTCTTGATTTGACAAGCAAGAGACTCGTTCTTGTCAATGAAACTGTTGAAAAAGCTTTCCATCCTCTCATCCAATTCATTAGTGATCTCTTTTTGATCATCCACAATCTGCTGAAGCATTGCTTGAATCACACTATTTTGCTGAACCGGATGAGGTGCGCTTGGAGGAAAGTTGTAAGGCTGCTTCATTGGGTACATGCCTTCTTGATTGTACTGCGGCATAGGTTGGAATTGACTTCCTTGATGGTGAAATCGTGGTGATTGCTGCTGGAAGTCAGGAGGATGGATGAAGTCATCTAGATAGTTAACTTCTTGTGATTGCTCCCATGCAAAATCTCCAATGATTTCTTGGTAGTAAGGGGCACGCCTTAAAGAGACATGATCTTGGGTCTGGCCAAAGATCATAGCTTTCATCTTATAATCAAGTTTGCACCTGAAACACACAAAGATAAAGGCTTAAAGCGAAATTGAAACAAAAACTAAAACAAGTGAAGAATGAAAAACAACTAAAACTAAAAATCAAATGCAAGAGACTCGTTATTGTCAATGAAACTGTTGAAAAAGCTTTCCATCCTCTCATCCAATTCATTAGTGATCTCTTTTTGATCATCCACAATCTGCTGAAGCATTGCTTGAATCACACTATTTTGCTGAACCGGATGAGGTGCGCTTGGAGGAAAGTTGTAAGGCTGCTTCATTGGGTACATGCCTTCTTGATTGTACTGCTGCATAGGTTGGAATTGACTTCCTTGATGGTGAAATCGTGGTGATTGCTGCTGGAAGTCAGGAGGATGGATGAAGTCATCTAGATAGTTAACTTCTTGTGATTGCTCCCATGCAAAATCTCCAATGATTTCTTGGTAGTAAGGGGCACGCCTTAAAGAGACATGATCTTGGGTCTGGCCAAAGATCATAGCTTTCATCTTATAATCAAGTTTGCACCTGAAACACACAAAGATAAAGGCTTAAAGCGAAATTGAAACAAAAACTAAAACAAGTGAAGAATGAAAAACAACTAAAACTAAAAATCAAATGCAAAAACTACTAAAACTAAATTCCTAGACTAAGCTATTCTTGGGAACTCGTAGGCAGCTGTATTGCTCCCCGGCAACGGCGCCAAAAACTTGATGCGGGATCAGGTTTTACCTATTCCTATCCCTGATTCTGCAAGTGCACAGGTCAGGTGTAGTAACGGGTTATCGAACACAAGGAGCAGATAAGTGCACTACAAGCTATGCAAGTCTAACTTAGCTAGGACAAGAGGATAATTGGGGTTTTGGTATGCAAAAGAACTAAACTAAAAGAAAGCAATATGAAAGCGGTGTAAGTTCAATGTGGGAAAGACGCTAGGCAATAGGTAATTCGCAGAGATTCATATATGATAAGATTGATGATTGATTTATATCTATTTAGGGATATGGGATGTAAGATCCGTCTAGAACACCAAACACGATTGTAAAACCATTCCACTGTCGAGGCTCCGGTTCCTTTGTTAATCTACCTAGTCGCTAAACTTTTGGTATGTCCCTAGGTGATTAAATCAAGCATTAGATCGAGCAAGTTCGGATACAGTACAGTTCACTAAATCAACTTTCGCAGTCTAAGAAACCTAGCTTGTCAAAGAATATGTCCGGCGAATGATACAACACTTTCGAGGCTCAAATCAACCTAAGATCGAATCACTAGATGTACGGTAAAGTGATTAGCATTAATTAAGTGTGCAAAACGAGACAAAGACTCTAATGATATCCCTAGTTAATTCATCAAATCATAATCAACACATGAACTCTTTGAAACCCTAAAACCTAACTAGAAATCTACTCAAACATGGTGCAAGTAAACAAGCATAGATCTGAGATAGAAATCATATTAATATAAGGAGAAAAGGGTTTAGAAAGCTTCTCTATGTCGAGATACAAAGAAGGGATCTTCTCCCTAAGGAAAACAATGAGAAAGAAGTAAAACAATGGAGATCCCTCTAAGGGGAGCTCCCTAGTGCGCCTCTCTCTTGTGGCTCTTCTCCTGTGTGACTCTCTATGCGGCTCTCTCTTCTAAAGAGGCTAAAAAAGAGTATTTATAGTGCCCTAGGTCTTCCACAAGTCGGTTTAGGTTAAACGGGCTGAGAATAGTCGAAACTGCATAAGTGGGCTTCTTGTTCGCGGAGATCGGGTCGACCGTGCAAGGGATTTGGTCGGCCGTCGGGGTCGGCCGTGATGTGATGTTCTCGGTCGATCGTGGTCCATTGCCTCCCGGCTCGGACGGTGCGGTCGTGCGGCCGGATCGGTCCTGGAGAAGGCCGAGCGAAGCCAATTCCCTTCCTGTCCGGCCGAGTGCGTTCGGCCGGCTGTGGACCAGTCTTCAGTACAAACGTGATATCTCCTAAACGGCTTATCCAAATTGCATACTTCCAACGGCATTGGAACACTAACTCATCTGCCTATCTTGGTGTAGAGTTTCATTGAAATCCATTGAGTTTAAGGGTCCAAGCCGCTGCTGCTCGTCTGATGTACTGATGCAGTCCGATAAAGCTCCTCGGTATATGTCTCAGGGAAATAGAGATATCTCCCAATCTACTCGGTCAAATTGATTGATTCCAGTTGCGTTGCAAAGCTAACTCACGTATGCATCACTCGAACTGGATTTGATGAATTCCATTGAGTAGAATGTTTTTAAGGCCCTTCTTAAGTTGATGCTACGTCCTGGAGTGGTCTTGAAGTCCAAATCCTGTGTTTTGCTCCAAAATGCATCTTTTGACCTGTTTAGACTCTAAGTACTATAAATCCATAAAAACTACCTTTTTAGATCAGAAAGCCATTAAAAACCTTATGAAAAGCATAGTAAAACCATATAAAAAGCATGTAAAATAGAGGTATATCAGGTATCAATCCAAAATGGGTGAAGTTGTCACTCTATGAGAATATGAAATAACAAGGAAGTCAAGCAAGCAATAATTGAAATGGTGGTAACACTAACAACCTAATGAAGCAGTAATGTAATGCAGTAAGCAAATAAAGCAGTAGAGCAACAGCTCGACCAAGGACTCGAGTCGAGTGGGAACAGAGTAACCGAGCTCGATCGAGTTTAGGGTCGAGTTGAAGTAAAAAGATATGAAGGCAGCGACTTTAACAAGCTAAAGCGAGAATTAGGGTCTAAGACAGGGTTTAGCAATCAGAGGAAGCCTATAGTGGACCTTTTCCAACGATTATAAGAGTTATTGGAGCTCTTAGTGGACCCTTTCCAACGATTTCCATAACTTCCATGTGGAGAATCGCCTATGGACATACAAGCCAGGGGTAGTGGTCATGTAGCCTTAAGGTTTGCCCAAAAGAGAGAGATTTCTAGATTAAGAACATAAGCAAGAAGGATTAAGCATAAAGATCCCCTAATCTAGCCCATCTCAAACCCTAATGGGAAACTACTCACTACACATGAATGTAAACACAAGCAAATGCAATGAAATCGACATCATATGAAAGAGGAGATAAAGATAAACAACTTTTATTGAAATAAGCAAGTGCAAATACAAAAGATAGAGCCAAGATCTAGGATTCAAGAGCAAGAGCTCAAGAACACAAAGAGTGGCTAGGGTTTAAAAAGTAAAAGACAATAAATTAAAAAGAAGCTAAAACAAAAGTAATCTAAAGCTTGTGGTTTTTTCGTGGCTAAGAGCCTTTAAATACAAAGAGGATTAGGTTTAGGGTCAAAGGGAAGTCAAGGGGGAAGCAACATTTTTCGGGTTTGACTGTTGACTTCTCAGCTCGATCGAGTTGAAGCTTGGCCGGTCGAGTTGAGGAACTCGACCGGATGGTCGAGTAGGTGGTCGAGCTGGTCTTCAAGATGACTTCCTCCTTCTTCCTTTGCGTGTCCAGTTGAGCTGCGTCCATGCACCAAGTCCTTCCTTGCTCCTCATGTCCCATATGCTCCAAAATGCTCCAAAAGACCTATTTCAAAGGACCAAACATGCATATGTATGCAAATGCAACCTAAAACTACTATGAATGCACAAGAAGGGAAAAGGAACAAGATATGATGCTAATGGATGCTAAAACTATGCAAAAGATGCATAAAAGATGTACTAAAACTATGTAAAATGCAAGTACATCAATGGTTTCTCACTTGATGGAACATAGAAGTCTTCCTCCTTGGGCTGGAAAGTGACAACACCTGAGCGTAGGCTTGGGATATCTTCATGTGGCAGCAAGACAAGGAAGTGTTGGTTGGTCCAAAACTTGGTTGGGTCTTTAGTCCAACGGTTTAGGAAGTGGATTTGCTGAAGGGCATGGAGATCCAAAGGGATTGGCTTGGGTAGTGGCTCATAGTTGGGAATGTCAATCCCCACATGTTGTACTATGGCCGTGATGAGCCTCCCAAAGCGAACACAAAGCTTCTTGTTGCCTTCCAAGTCTTGAGCTAGATTCCTCACATTGATAAGTGTCTTGGCAAGCAAAAGGCCAAGGTTGGCCTTGTACTCATGCTTGATGAATGGTGTGGTGAGGATGTAGAACTCATCAGTTGTGACCTTGTTGGCTTCTTGTTTGCATTGGAAAGTGGTGGAGATGAGGCGGTGCACATAGCGAATGGCTGGATGAGTGATTCTAGACACCTTTGATCTTGAAGGCAAGAATGGTTCATTGGCAAAGTGTGTCCAATCAGCAAAGGCAGCTTGTTTCCTCTTTGAGTTCTCCTTGAAGTCATGTGCTGTCTCATTGGGAAGTCCAAAGAGTTGGCATAGAGCTGAGATGGAGATGCGCCCATTGGCATCGCCTATCTTGAAAGTAGGAGTCCATCACCAGCTGGTTGGTCTCCATTGTGGTTGGGAAAGGCAAGAGCTACTGTGGAGAGGAACTCCTTGGTTAGCATTGAGTACTCGCTGCACTCTATCTTGAATAGCTTGCTCAAGCCTAGCTTCCTTAGTACCATGTGACATCATCTCTTATCTTGAGAAGGTCAAGGGTTGGGGTGTCCATCTTCACACAAGGTTCTATGTTCACCTTCTCCATTGCTTCTTGCACTTTCTTGGGTCTTGGATTTGTTCTCCAACAAAGCTTACAAGTGCCCAATCATCTTCTCTTCTTGGACTCTCCACATGTTCTTGATTGCATCAATGGAATGTGGTGGTGATGGTGTTTCTGCTCTTGCATTGGAGCTACTACTCCCTAGCTTGATTTGTTTCTTTGGTGGTTCCATGAATGGATCTTCTTCTTCTTCATACTCTCACCTCCTTTTGTCTTGCCATTGGGTACCTACAAGAGCAAATTCTTGGGAAGAGACATGAGTTTGTGATTAATGCAAAAGAAAATAAGCTAATTGAGTTGCAATAATGATATGGATAATGGAACAACTCAAGGCTTAATCATATATCAAAGAAACAAAATGGAAATTTCACTTTTCAAAGTTAATTTCGGATTTTACTGTTCATCCCAAGATTATGGTGCATAAAATCGAAATTTTAGCAAATCAAGAGAAATTGAGTTTCTAATCCAAGTAATCACTAGATAAACTAATGAATTGAAGTATGGCCAAGCAATTTCACCTTTGAATGAGGGGTTTGGAATGCCCAATAAGTTTTGTGAAAAACTATTCAATTGTGAAATTAAACTTCAAATAACTCTAAACCACCTAGGTTCCACCTAGCTAAGTTCAATACAAGACTCATAAGAATGTAATTTCAAGTTTAGACAAGAGTTTAAACAAGAAACTATTGAGAGTTTCAATCTTGCATAAACATGGAATTAGAGTTAGAAATCATACCTTGGTGTATTGAAAAGTGAATAATGGGTGAAAGAGCAAGTAAATTCAAGTTTAGAGTTATGAACAGTAAAATATTTGAAATCAAAGCTGTTGAAGGCCGAGCGAAGAAAATTCCCTTCCTGTCCGGCCGAGTGCGTTCGGCCGGCTGTGGACCAGTCTTCAGTATAAACGTGATATCTCCTAACCGGCTTATCCAAATTGCATACTTCCAACGGCATTGGAACAATAACTCATCTGTCGATCTTGGTGTTGAGTTTCATTGAACTCCATTGAGTTTAAGGGTCCAGGCCTCTGCTGCTTGTCTGATGTACTGATGTAGTCCGATAAAGCTCCTCGGTATATGTCTCAGGGAAATAGAGATATCTCCCAATCTACTCGGTCAAATTGATTGATTTCAGTTGCTTCGAACTGGATTTGATGAAGTCCATTGAGTATAATGTTTTTAAGGCCCTTATAAAGTTGACTCTAAGTACTATAAATACATAAAAACTACCTTTTTAGATGAGAAAGCCATTAAAAACCTTATGAAAAGCATAGTAAAACAATATAAAAAGCATGTAAAATAGAGGTATATCAAGGAGCCTGAAATCGATAGGGCTGAGGATCGAGTTGGGGCTCGAGCTGAGGATCGAGCCCAAGTGGATGAGGATTTGGACGAGCCTGATTGCTACTACTTCGAGGAGTATAAAGCTCCAAGGATGAACCCCTTTGTTGTGGCTGCTCACAAGAGGATTGGACTTCTCCAAAAGTTCAACAAGTGGCAAGGGAAATCCATGAAGAAGATGCAAAAGTCCATGGACAAGATGGTGAGCAAAATCAAGAGTTTGGAGAAGAAGTTGGCTGGTTCCTCATCCAAACAAGGCACCAATGACCTCCCCTTTCCCTAGGAGTCGATCCCTCCTCACCACACCAAGGAGACTCCCGGCCCATGAACCTCACAGAGCCTCGTCCTTTGAACCAAGAGAAGAAGGAGCCAGCCCACAGAGGAGGAGGAAGAGTTCAAGAGCCCGACGCTCCAACTCGACCAGTGGAATCGATCACTACAACAAATATGGGCATTCATAGCATATTACGATAGCACATTTTCTTTTACTGCTATTAAAAGTGAATTTAGGTTTCGGTTTACTTTATTATAGCATTATCTATATGCTATGGTGAAATAAATATGAGCGCCAAATAAAAACACGCTAATCCGCCAATTTTATCAACTAAGCGCCTACATTTAGAAAAAAAAACACGATTTCGCGGTCATTAGAGGAAGAGAGACTATTCATAGCATTAAAAAAAAAAAACACAAATTAATTATAAAAAAAAGATCTCTTTGTTTTCTCCGTCTTCTCGAAGACGATTATCTCTCCGTCGCCATCGTCTAAGCTCGCCATCTCCGTTTTCCTGTCATTTTCCGTCTGAAATCTCTACGGGCTCCAGTACCTAAGTCTCGCAAACCGGATCTCCTCTATTCTCCTCCGAATTCAACCCATATTAACAAGTTCTACAGATTCGCAGCCGCATATAAAAGTGAGTTAATGTTTGTTAAATTTGGTCTGTAGTTTCTTCGAATCAGTCTATAATTGTCAATGTTTCTTCAAATCCGACTTTAATTGTCACCGAGGTTGATACTGTGGACTTGAATCGTAAATGTGATTACTGTATTCTCATACTATTGGGTTTCATATTCAACAGCTTCAGTAGAAGCGAAAAACAATTTAGCTTTATTTTCATAAGGTATATACTTACTTTGGTCTCTACTTATTGTGTCTCTGCTTGCAGAATTGTGTTGGTACTTTGGATTTTGCATCCTTCGACAAAGATTTGCTGTGAAGGTTAGACACATCTTCTGATTTCTTCACATTTTTCAGTTCGCAAATGTAGATTTAGGGTATGACTAAGTAAATTCTAGGATCCTTTTTACGTTTTTGTTCATGGTTTTCACTTACACTTATTAATTTATCGTCTCTAAACACTGAATCATGTGCGCTTGCTTGAATCGTGGGAAGGAAAATAACTAAGTTTGTAAGAGAAATGGTGGACAAGTCTTGGGTGCATTTATGCAGGTATATACAATTCATTTTGTTATTCAGTTTTTGCTTATCTTTCTGACAAAGTCTTGATCACTGTCTTTTTCATTCTTCTTTGATTTTCATGAACTGAAGAGTTGACTCTGCATACGAGTGTGGTGCTCGAGGTTTTGTTAACACAGTTAGTGAAAAGTTAGGAGTCAGTGGGAAGATAATTTGCCCATGTGCATGTTGCCGCAACTTAGAACGCAAGACATGCGACGAGGTTGTGTCTCATTTGGTTATTAACGGGATGGATGAAGCTTACAAGAGACAGTCTGATTGGTTTCACCATGGAGAGGATAGATCGGTTGCTATGTCAGTAGGTCAAGATAGAGTGTGGAATTCTGAAATTGTTGGTTTATACGAAGCTGCGAACTGTCTAGATGAAGAATTAGCTAGTAAGGGTTTAGATCTAGGTGAACTCGCTGAGGGAGAGGACAAGAAGGAAGATGAGTTTTTAGCAAAGCTTGCTGAAGCCGAGAGGCCATTGTATCCTACGTGTGTGAGCCATAGCAAGCTGTCAGCCATAGTGTCCTTGTTCAGGATCAAGACTCAGAATGGTTGGTCGGACAAGAGCTTCAACGACTTACTTGAGACTTTGCCGCACATGTTGCCTCAAGACAATGTACTGCATACATCCACTTACGACGTGAAGAAGTTTCTGAAGACATTTGATATGGGATATCAAAAGATTCATGCGTGTCCAAACGACTGTTGTCTCTTCCGAAAGAAGCTCAAGAAAGTAGACACTTGTCCGAAATGCAAGGCCTCGAGATGGAAGATCAATACACACACGGGTGAAGTGAGGAAGGGTGTTCCACAGAAGGTGTTAAGGTACTTTCCTATCATCCCTCGTCTGAAAAGGATGTTTAGATCATAAAAGCTAGCTTCCGATTTAAGATGGCATTTCTCAGGCAAGAGCACAGATGGGAAGTTGCGGCATCCTGTTGACTCTGCGACTTGGTCTTCCATGGATGCTAAATATCCATCTTTCGCAGCTGAGCAAAGGAACTTGAGGCTTGGTCTTTCTACTGATGGGTTTAATCCCTTTAGCATGAAGAGCAGTAGATACTCTAGTTGGCCAGTCTTGCTGGTGAACTACAACATGGCGCCGGACCAATGCATGAAAGAAGAGAACATTATGCTAAGTCTGCTCATTCCTGGACCGCATCAACCAGGTAATAGCATAGATGTTTACTTGGAACCCCTGATAGAAGATCTGATTAAGTTGTGGAATTTCGGGGAGTTAACTTTCGATGCTATTAGTAAAACAACCTTCACTCTTAGAGCAATGCTTCTGTGGACTATTAGTGACTTCCCAGCGTACGGGAATCTGGCGGGTTGTAAGGTTAAGGGAAAAATGGGATGTCCTATTTTGGGAAACAAACGGATAGCTTGTGGCTAGCTAATAGCAGGAAGCATGTATACATGTGCCATAGGAAAGGTTTGTCTCCTTCACATAGCTTTCGGGCTAAGAAGACTTGGTTTGATGGTAGAACAGAACATGGCGTCAAGGGAAGGATACTAACGGGTCGTAATGTATCTTCATTGCTTAAAAATTACAAGAACGACTTTGGGAATCGGAAAGAGACTGGAAAAAAAGAAGTAGAGTTCCGCGACCTGAAACACATTCTGATAACGAAGACGAAGTCAGTGCATCTGAGGATAAAGAAGATTTGGCAGAGAAAGACGAGGAGTTATCCAGATGGAAAAAAAGATCAATCTTCTTCACTCTTCCTTATTGGGAGGTATGAAAGTTATACTAAATGCGTTTACATGAACTACAATGTATTCTCTTACTTTTTACAAATTTAATTCTAATTTCTCTTGTTACGTTTTTTGAATTTTGAAGGAGCTGCCTGTGAGACACAACATAGATGTCATGCATGTCGAAAAGAATGTGGCTTCTAGCTTAATCGCTACATTGCTACACTGTGGTAACTCAAAGGATGGTCTCAAAGCCAGAAAGGATCTCGAGACTCTTGGTATCAGATTGGATTTACATCCAAAAGCTCAAGGGAAAAGGACTTTGCTTCCTGCAGCTCCATGGTCTTTGTCCAAGGCAGAGAAAAAAACATTTTGCAAGCGGTTATTTGACTTCCAAGGTCCAGACGGTTATTGTTCCAACATATCTAACTGCGTAGCATTAGACGAGTGTAAGGTGATGGGTCTGAAGTCACATGACTACCATGTCCTGATGCAGCAGCTACTGCCAGTTGCGATTAGAGGTTTATTGCCTAAGGGTCCACGGTTATCAATTTTCAGGCTAAGCGCTTTCTTCAGCCTTCTTTGTCAACGAGTTATTGATGTGCATCAGCTACAAGTTATGGAAACAGAGATTGTAGAGACTCTATGCATGTTTGAAAGGTTTTTGCCGCCTAGCTTCTTTGATATCATGATTCACTTGTGTGTCCATCTGGCAAGAGAAGCCCGTCTAGGTGGACCAGTACATTTCAGGTGGATGTATCCGTTTGAGAGGTACTTTTTTTTCCTTTATTATACTTCTGGTGTTTATAGTTGTTAAGGTTTAACGATTTTATTATGGTGTTTATTACTCACAGGTACATGAAAGTGTTGAAAGATTACGTAAGAAACCCATCTAGACCAGAGGGATGTATAGCGGAGTCTTATCTAGCAGAGGAATGCATGAAGTTTTGCTCAAATTTCTTGAAGAAGACCACAAATGTGGAGGAAAAAGACGACAGAAACACAGAGTATGAGAACAAGACTATCCTAGAAGGAAGACCAATATCAGCTGCCAAGTCATTCACGCTCAGTGAGTCAGACATGAAAATTGCTCATTTGGCGGTAATTCAGAACACAGCTATGGTGGATTCTTATGTTGAGTAAGTTTTTTTTAATTACAAAGCTCTCTGCAAAAGCACATAATCCGTTGCGCATCTCTGACATTTTTTTTTCGTTGAATATGCAAGTGCTCATTTACAACATTTACAAGATTCAAATATGAGATGTCGGCGTGATGCTAGCTATTTGTGGAGTATGCACACACAGAATTTCCCTTCATGGCTAAAACAACAGGCATGTTCTGTTTTTTTTTTTTGTCATTATCTTCTATAACTGTAAACATGTTAACTTAATCCGACTTGAAATGGAAACTGATATATGCCTTGAACTGTAAACTTATAGATACCTCTTGATATGGAAGAGAAGGATGAGACTCTTAGGTGGTTGGCTTACGGTCCACGGAGAATAGCCAGATCTTACACAGGCTACATTGTTAATGGCTTGCGGTTTCATACAAACTCGGTGCATAGACTTAGTCAGAATAGTGGGGTCTATTATGAGGCAACAGCGATGTGTAGATCTAGTGCTATAGACACAGCTCAAGTGGTTGATTTGGTGTCGTATTATGGCAGGGTAGTAGATATAATATTATTGGATTATAATGTTTTCTACGTGCCCATCTTCAGATGTTAGTGGGCAGTTAGAGGAAACGGTGTGAAGGTAGAAGATGGGTTTACACTGGTTAACATGAATCAGAGTCAAGTATCGTTTGCCAAGGATCCGTTTATTTTAGCTTCTCAAGCTAGGCAGATATTTTACTCTAGGGAAAACGATGAATCCAGTTGGTATGTGGTTATGAGAGGTCCATCTAGGAGATACAGTGATGAGAATGTAGAAGATGGAAATACTGATGTTGGACCATTACCTTCCAATGTGGACATGGGTCTAGAAGACTTGGAAGATGAGGCTCCTATGGTCAGAGATGATTGTGAAGGAATATATGTGTGATGGGGTTGATTGTTCTCTTGTTCGGAATTTCATATGATTGTAGGAGTTCGAGTAGATCTATTTTGTTCTGTCATTTGATTGAGATTGGAAAATTCTGCAATTGGTTATTATTTATGGTTTTGAGTCATTGCTTTTTGATGATTTGTTTGTCTGCGTTTGGCTAACTTATTATGTGTTTGATTTTGTAAACTTGGTTTTGAGTCTTACAGTAGGGGAGCAATGGGTAAATCCAGGAAGTATTCTAAGAAGAGGAAGAACCTCGGAGCCGATGTGGATGATGAGCCTGAGTTCATTTGCACTATTGATGAACAAACTGGTGGACGACTACTGCCATAAGAGACCCAAGAAGCAGACACACAGCCGGAGGTACAACAACCTGAAAAGGATTGTCAGATGCCTGAAGGTGACGAACAAGTATCTGGCTCACAGCCACAAGATACTGTTCCGGTGGAGGTTCAGCCAGTCAGTAAGAAGCAGAGAGGTCCAACAAAGATGAAAGATATTGCTAGGGATCCAAATTCTCGCATTAAAGTTGAGTTCACTGAGTTAGGAGAACCGTGTGGAGAAGGGTCGGTGAAGTTGTCTTCTTACCTAGGCCCATTGGTGCGTGAGCATGTTCCAGTCTTAATTGATGATTGGAGAAAGATTGGTGAGGAGCTGAAGACAGTTCTCTGGAAATCAGTTAAGGTACTTTCGTTTCATATTGCATAAAATGTATTACTCTTCACGACATCGCTCTTATGATAATTATTGTTGGCAGATACGCTTCGAACTAGATGGAGCATATGAGAAGGCTGCTGTTATGAAGCAGATGGGGTGTTTATGGAGGGCATCAAAGTCACGCCTTGTTAAGCAGATTAACAAGGCTAAAAACCATGCAAACAGAATGAAACTCAGACCAGACAATATCCCAACTCCAGAGTGGAGAAAGTTTGTGAAACAGAAGACTAGTGTGGAATTTAAGGTAATAAATTATCAGAACTTTATATCTTATTGTTATTGCATCTAACCCTCGTTATTAGGCTGTCAGCGAGACATATAAGGAACGAAGAAGCAAGCAGATACCTCACACATGTAGTCGTAGAGGGATGGTTAGACTAGCTGAAGATTTAGTAAGTATAATAAATGTATGATATAACTATGAATTGTTTATGTGATTATTGGATTTGTGATTGTGTCTTCTTACAATATTGTACAGAAAAAGGAGAGCTCAGAACCAGCTGAAGTGACAAGACTTAATGTGTGGGTGAAGTCACGAACGAAAAAGGATGGGTCAGCCGTGAACACAGATGCTGCTTCCAAAATCGTAAGTAGTATTCTAAACATCTGAGTGACTCGTATATGTTTATCTCTGAAAATATAAGCCTATAAAAACGAGAGTGAGATGTTGTTACAAGGACAGGCGAAGGAGATCATGCAATCTGTTGCTGCATCAGAGTCATCTTTGAACCCAAAAGAAGACACGCTTGCACAGATTTTGGGACCTGACAATCCTGGACGCCTGCGAGCAATGGGTAGAGGAATGAGCTTGAGCAAACTTGCTTGTTTCCAAGTGAAGAGCAAGTATGTGTCTGATATGCAGCAAACTCAAGTTCAGTTGCAGCTGCAAGTCAACGAGTTACAAGAAGCCCTTGAGAAACTGAATAGCAATGTACGTTATCATCACTTCATGAATGATTATTTACACTTAACGATTATTTATCTCTCAACTTACACTTTATCTCCTGTAAACTTGTAGCGTGCGGAAGCAGATGTGGGTGAAAACTCAGCCCAGCGAGTAATCATATTTTTATGAAAGTTTAATTTATTCTTTCCCTTAATACTGAACTAACCCTGACGGTAAAAATTTGACAAATGTAGAGTGTAAACCAAAGAACAAAGCCTAAGTGCATTCTGTTTGACTGGGCTGGATCTGAATACAAAGTAGCTGAGGGTCGAATTTTGTCTTTCGATCACATGGACTTTATCAACAGTATACCATTAGGACCTAACTCAGTGAAGGTGTTGGTGGAGATGGCTGTCAACGGAGACGCATTTCTCTGGAGGCCTGCACAAAATATGTTATGTATTTCTCAGGCGGTAGGCGAAACTATTGCGTGGCCTCAGAATTGTGTCGTTGCTCTTGAAGAAGAGTTTCAACCAGAAGATATCCCTCCTAAGGTAATGTTTACGGAATGAGAGCAAGATATGTTGTAGCTTATGATTTCATTTAGTTACTAACATCTTATTGTTTTGGCGTCACATCACTTCTGTCTCAGAGCCCAAGCACAACGTCTGTGAACAAATGCAAACTCCTGACTACAAATCTAGTTTCGTTCAAGTAACGGATTCTAGCCAATTGAACGGATCTTCTGATCAATTCATAGATCCTTTCGATTCCATTAGTAATGAGGATTCGGAATATCACACATTGATCAATCAAAGAGAGATTCAACAACTAAAAGAAAGATCGATTCTTTGGGATCCTTCCTTTATTCAAACGGAAGGAAGAGAGATAGAATCAGACCGATTCCCTAAATACCTTTCTGGATATTCCTCAATGCCCCGGCTATTCACGGAACGTGAGAAGCGAATGAATAATCATCTGCTTCCGGAAGAAAGAGAAGAATTTCTTGGGAATCCTACAAGAGCCATTCGTTCTTTTTTCTCTGACAGATGGTCAGAACTTCATCTGGGTTCGAATCCTACTGAGAGGTCCACTAGGGATCAGAAATTGTTGAAGAAAGAACAAGATGTTTCTTTTGTCCCTTCCAGGCGATCGGAAAATAAAGAAATAGTTAATATATTCAAGATAATTACGTATTTACAAAATACCGTCTCAATTCATCCTATTTCATCAGATCTGGGATGTGATATGGTTCCGAAGGATGAACTGGATATGGACAGTTCCAATAAGATTTCATTCTTGAACAAAAATCAATTTTTTGATTTATTTGATCTATTCCATGAACGGAAGAGGGGGGGGTACACGTTACGCCACGATTTTGAGTCAGAAGAGAGATTTCAAGAAATGGCAGATCTATTCACTCTATCAATAACCGAGCCGGATCTGGTGTATCATAAGGGATTTGCCTTTTCTATTGATTCCTACGGGTTGGATCAAAGACAATTCTTGAAGGAGGTTTTCAACTCCAGGGATGAATCGAAAAAGAAATCTTTATTGGTTCTACCTCCTATTTTTTATGAAGAAAATGAATCTTTTTATCGAAGGATCAGAAAAAATTGGGTCCGGATCTCCTGCGGGAATTATTTGGAAGATCCAAAACAAAAAAGAGTGGTATTTGCTAGCAACAACATAATGGAGGCAGTCAATCAATATAGATTGATCCGAAATCTGATTCAAATCCAATTCCAATATAGTCCCTATGGGTACATAAGAAATGTATTGAATCGATTCTTTTTAATGAAGAGACCTGATCGCAACTTCGAATATGGAATTCAAAGGGATCTAATAGGAAATGATACTCTGAATCATAGAACTATAATGAAAGATACGATCAACCAACATTTATCGAATTTGAAAAAGAGTCAGAAGAAATGGTTCGATCCTCTTATTTTTCTTTCTCGAACCGAGAGATCCATAAATCGGGATCCTAATGCATATAGATACAAATGGTCCAATGGGAGCAAGAATTTCCAGGAGCATTTGGAACATTTCGTTTCTGAGCGGAAGAGCCGTTTTCAAGTAGTGTTCGATCGATTATGTATTAATCAATATTCGATTGATTGGTCTGAGGTTATTGATAAAAAAGATTTGTCTAAGTCACTTCGTTTCTTTTTGTCCAAGTTACTTCTTTTTTTGTCCAAGTTACTTCTCTTTTTGTCTAACTCACTTCCTTTTTTCTTTGTGAGTTTCGAGAATATCCCCATTCATAGGTCTGAGATCCACATCTATGAATTGAAAGGTCCGAACGATCAACTATGCAATCAGTTGTTAGAATCAATAGGTCTTCAAATCGTTCATTTGAAAAAATTGAAACCCTTTTTATTGGATGATCATAATACTTCTCAAAAATCGAAATTCTTGATCAATGGAGGAACAATATCACCATTTTTGTTCAATAAGATACCAAAGTGGATGATTGACTCATTCCATACTAGAAAGAATCGCAGGAAATCTTTTGATAACACGGATTCCTATTTCTCAATCGTATCCCACGATCAAGACAATTGGCTGAATCCCGTGAAACCATTTCAGAGAAGTTCATTGATATCTTCTTTTTCTAAAGCAAATCGACTTCGATTCTTGAATAATCCACATCACTTCTGCTTCTATTGTAACAAAAGATTCCCTTTTTATGTGGAAAAGGCCCGTCTCAATAATTCTGATTTTACGTATGGACAATTCCTCACTATCCTGTTCATTCACAACAAAATATTTTCTTCGTGCGGTGGTAAAAAAAAACATGCTTTTTTGGAGAGAGATAGTATTTCACCTTCGTCAATCGAGTCACAGGTATCTAACATATTCATATCTAACGATTTTCCACAAAGTGGTGACGAAAGGTATAACTTGTACAAATCTTTCCATTTTCCAATTCGATCCGATCCATTAGTTCGTAGAGCTATTTACTCGATTGCAGACATTTCTGGAACACCTCTAATAGAGGGACAAAGAGTCAATTTTGAAAGAACGTATTGTCAAATTCTTTCAGATATGAATCTATCCGATTCAGAAGAGAAGAGCTTGCATCAGTATCTCAATTTCAATTCAAACCTGGGTTTGATTCACACTCCATGTTCTGAGAAATATTTACAGAGGAAAAAACGGAGTCTTTGCCTAAAAAAATGCGTTGACAAAGGGCAGATGGATAGAACCTTTGAACGAGATAGTGCTTTTTCAACTCTCTCAAAATGGAATCTATTCCAAACATATATGCCATGGTTCTTTACTTCGACAGGGTACAAATATCTAAATTTGATATTTTTAGATACCTTTTCAGACCTATTGCGGATACTAAGTAGCAGTCAAAAATTTGTATCCATTTTTCATGATATTA